CCAAAAACAGAATAAAAAGAGAGTGAATATATGTCTGGCTGAATGTGTAAAAGCAACTGTTTGCTTAAAAGGTTCACCAGTTCAACTTAAAAGGTGATGATTTGTCAATACAGTGTTCACACTTGCTTCTGTTGCCGCCAAGTGACCCAAAGAAAATCAGGTTTTCATTATTGCAAGTTTTAGTATTCTGGGCAGGTTGGTTTTCAGAGCGCAACCTCCTAGATCTGTTGATGTGCAGACTTTACTAGTAGAAATTGCTTTAATGACTCACTGCTGAACCTCATATGCCTAAAATGCTTCAGGTGATGACCTTTATTGGTCAGCGGACAGCCTGTAGGCTGCTGCTGCTATTTTTTAGTACATTTACATCAGAGGATTATATTTTCCAGTTGACATTTTACACTTCAAATATTGTGGAAAACTTCTCTGGATTCCTGTTAAGTTCATAACATACTTATTTGCAAACAGACTCCCAGCTGACAAAAAATCAGCTACCACAAAGACTGGATTAGCTTGTTTTAATGTCAAAGTTTTGGGGAAATTAGCCTTACAGGAGAAAACTTTAAAATTGTTATATTTTTGGTCAAACGAGTTTGGCAATCATAAGATATCATATTGTCTTGAATTTCTAGGAAAGTTGGATAGGTAAAAGGTGCACATTCACTTGGAAGGGTGAACCTGAATGTGTTTACACTGGGGCTGCCCCCTTGTGGTCGACAAACTTTTCATTAGTCTGGTAGTCGCAGAAAAATCAACTAAAACCTCAAACTCCAGGCAGGGACAGGAGAGGCATCAAGTGGAAGAGGAGCGAGACTGTAGCGAGTTCATTTGACAGTAACATTACACCATCCATCGTGTTGATATGTGTGCAAGTATTTATTTTTGTAAAGTTGGAAGTTATTGATTCCCGTGTTTTGAACGAGACTTGTGTGACGTTATACTGTGTCGAAATATATTAACAAAATGTTCAGTCTCCTTGCTGGGTGTTCCGACACATTCACAATAATTACAGTTTATGTGTGTATGTTGTATCGCTGTAGAGTTTAACAGACTGCTCACTTTGTGCTTGCGTTTGTAAAATATATATTTTAAAGGCTCATTATTACGGTTTGTATTTCTCTGTAATGTAGCACAGTGTAAACAATGTTACTTTCTCATCCCTGGAACCCTTTTATGGACCAACTATATATTTGAATAAGTACAACTGTGCGATGACTAGTAGACTTATGGCTTAAACAAATGACTAGAAAATCTTTAGTTGGAGGAAGCCCTAGTTTACACCAACTGTGGATACATTCAAAAGCCACACTAAAACCTAATTTTTAACTGTAGGAACAATTAACTAGTTGGACTGGAAGATTCGGAGACCAGTAGTAGTTAAGAGTAAACAAATGGGAGTCATACAGTACACTTCCCTGATTATGGCAGAAAGGATCCATGACCAAAAAAAGCTGACACCTCCAACATGTATAAACTCAGAAAGGAGTATATAAACTGTTGGCAGACTGTCAAAAACTCCCAGAAGATGAAATTTTGTGCTGAGTTCCCTTAAGTCTATGAGAAGCGGGATTCAATTATTGTTATTACCTGGTGAAAGCAGTAGTGCAGTGCCAGCGGGTTGTCTCTTAGCAACTCCTCCTCCTGGAAGCTGAACAACCATTTGCGGAGCGCCAAGCAAGTCCCCGGCACTGCCGATGTGTAATTCTGCACATAAAGCTTGTGGGGAAACTCATTAGGCGCCAGTTTCCGCACTGCAACAAACAATAGAAAGAAGGAGTGGGATGAGGAGGGGTATGAACAGCAGGGGAGAGGGTGTCTGTTTAGTCATCAAAAAAATTCTAGCCTGTACCAAATAACCTGCAATTGCTGTTCAAAACTGCACACAAACCCCTTGGCCCAATGAATTAAACTCACTTGTGGGCAGATACAGCCCTTTATTTAGACAACCAGTGGTCATGTGATGATGCAGTCACCAAGAGAGGGTTTTTAAATTAAATACATTAGAGAATGTGAATTTCCCTGTGAAACAACCATAAACATCAAATGCATATCCTGTTCTTACCAAAAGAGTGGTTGATGACTTCAAAAAGGGCAAAGTAGCTCGCCATAATACTGTCCATTCCAACCTTCAACACTAATGCCTACAGGAAGAGCAAAACAGAGTCAGTTGCGTAAGAAAAACATTGTTTTAAAATTTCTAATATCCATCTATACTCTTTTTAAATGTGAGTCTGCATTTTTTATTTCAGTATAAAAATATGTTCTACACCTGGAATGGATCATGTATTTACCAGTAGACATGGTTTGACTTTGCAATCCTCATTGTCATAATTCTAGCTAGGAACTGAATGCAAAGGCCAACTCAGATGTCCAAACAATGGGGCAATAAACTGTACAATATAGCTGTATGATAGCATCATCCCAGCAGGTGTCATGTGTTCCTACCTGGTACACCTGGTCTGTGGTGCTGTTCTTGCGGACTCTGACAGAGATGGTGGTCTTGTCTGGCAGGGCTATCCGCAGCTCTACATCTGTCACTCCATTGTAGTTCTGCGAAGCGAAGCAACACATAATGAGAACAGCTGCTGAGCTGCATTAACTCATGTCTGGATTAACAAGGGAGTGTGTCAGCTTGTATGAGGCGTTTGTTCTGAATTACTGTTAAGTACTTCTGGATTTAAAAAAAACAAACAAGACATAACTAAACCAAAACTTCCATCTGTCAGAAGTCCTTATCCTCCCCTCAAGTGCCGGATTAATTCCATTGTTTTGCATTTGTTTCTGCTGCTGTCCTTCCTCTCACTAGACAGGCAACATAATTAGCTATTTGACTCTCCAGTTTAAACTCCATACTGGCAGACATGACGGGCTGTCAGCTACTTTAACCCAAAACTGCTGATGCTTGTTTTTGGAAAAATTTTTATTTTTTTTTTACACTGAAAGACTGAGTAAGGTTAAATACATATAGGTTTAAATTCCCCCACATCCTCTTGAATAGGCTCAGAATAAGATAAATACATCCCTAATACCATTAGAAAAGCTCAATATTGATCTAACTTTGGAAAGTCCAGTAGACAATATAATAAACAAGGTACTGCGGTGCTGTGCAGACAACCTGTTTTCCAAGACGGAGAAGGTTTTGTAGACAAAACTTTCCGCACTCAAAGCTATGACATTTGAAAACAGAAACACCAATCACACATAAATAGCCACATCAACATCTAGTAAAGTCAATATCAGAACAATAAATGAAACGCATACCTCATCTGATTCAGAGAGAAACTCCTGCATGATGTCACTCTCCCCGATCACCCGCACAGAGCAAACTAGAGAGAAACAAGACAAAGAGAAAGACCGGAGGTCAAAGTTAATCAAATAAACAAAAGGTCTGCTAAATGTCACTTTGCCTGTATCCTGTGCTGTATTTTCAGTGTACAGTGGAAAATTTATCACAGCCAGTGCTTGGACAATTTTTCATCCTAACAACATGATTTCTGTATGCATACATAACATTTTTGGTATGTATGGATTTATTGTGGATTTTAATGATGAAATAACTTACATACTTGAACGTCAGCCTTTTAAAATGGAGTGGTTAGTCTTCCCAAACAACATATGGATTGGTAACAGAAAAGCCTTTTGTCTTTTACCCATGTTGAAAATCAACACACAAGTGGGTTTATACGCCAGTGACTTTTCCAAATCAGCCTACCTCGCTCGAGATATTCCTCCAGGCCTCTGCGACGAGCATCCAGCTGCTGTTCAGACAGGGAGAACGGCCATTTACCGGGAAGCTTCGGGAAGTTGAAGTTGGAAAACTCCCTCTTCAGGTTCTGGTGCAGGATAGCAAACTCCCGGTAGCGCTTTGAGCACAGCTGTCTGCCTGACATGTACACGTTGTACACCTATGGTCAGGAGAGACGGACCATAGCATGTAAGAGTTAGAATACCGCGAATACCACGAGAGTCTGTTTCAAGGAAGAAAAGGTAAGGTAATATGTCAGCCACTTACCACAAACCTCTCGGAGTGCTGCTCTACATGTTTGTATGTGGGAATGGAAATGGGCACTGCCTGCTTGTCACTGTAGTCATAGTTGGGTTGAACATCCTCTCCTCCTTCCAATCCATCAGCCTCCTGAGGTGGAACAGACAGCACAGCCAGAACCAGCTCCTTCTCCCCCGCCCGGATCAGGTCCACCACCTGCTTATGGGTGGCACCTTCCACACTCACCCCATTACTGGAGGGAAAGTGAGGGCAAGAGAAAGGCGGAGGAAGAAGTGATGGAGAGACAGAAAGAAAGTCAGCAAAGAGCTTTGAAACCCTTTCATCCCACTGTTTTTCACACGCTCAATTTATGTTTCAGCATGGCAGATGACTCCTATCACTCCACACAGAGGGAACAGATCAGGGCTTGACTGGACCTTTACCATGCTGCATTAGTGTGAAATTAGTGTAGGAAGTGTACTAATACTGCTTTTTTAAGTATTCTAACATGCATCTTCAGTGGAAATAATGTTAGGGATGCACAGATCTAACCATTTCTCTCCTGACACCAATTCCAATAATTCAACTCAGGGTCTCTCCCAAAATCAAATACCAATCTGACACTAGAGCTCTCATTTCCCCACATTTAAAATCATCCACTGAATAGTCATTTTTATGTAAGGTAACATGAGGCCACGAATAGCTGTAGCACTAAAGACTGAGTCAGCCCACTGTGACTGAACGAATGCAACAGATGGCAAAAACACACATTTTATAGTGACTGAAAAAGAAACTTTATTTAATTTGGATTGGTCCAGTTTTGGTGCACAGCTCCATCCAGGGATCCCTAAACAAAATAACCCATCTCAGATCTGCACTGCATGATTACAAAATATGTTACTAATGGTGCAAATATGCATTCTGTTAATTTTCCTATTAGGGCGTGTGATTATGTCAGTGCATTTTGTCCTCCATTGATAAACATGATGCAGGAAGCGCTGACTAACCAGGTCAGACCTAATGTCTCCCTTTCCTTTGGTGCTGTGAGACACCTCCCTTCTTGGCTTTGCTGAGGCCAGATGGCACCAGCATCAGGTGTCCCTGCTAATCTTCCTATGAGAAACAGCAGGACAGACACAGGAGAGGAGGGAGCAAGCAAGACCGCAAGCATAGGTCTGTCCCACAGACTGTATGTAAAGATGGATGATGTGTCTCAACTTCTTCAAACTGCACAAAAATGGAGCCAAAATATCCTGAGTACAGGTGCTGCCTTCTTGCGCTGGTGACGTCATTTGGAGCCAGAGTCTGCATAGTAATGATCTGGGTTGGAGCCAGGGTTTCAAGATCCCCTCCATACACCTGCTTGACTGTCGATCATGATGTGAAACCCCCTTTTTATAGCACAACATAACTAATTAAAATCAAATTTATCAGATAATGAACACTCTAATAAACATTCATGTGATAAGATCTACCTAAATGACATAAACCATCTTTGGGAAAATGGATACGACGTGTACTTTCGCTATCACGAAGAGGGCAGGGTATATGACCCATACTGCAGCCAGCAACAAGGGGGTGATTGAGATTTTATGGCTTCACTTTTGGGGAGCTGTCTTGTCATCCATCTTTAAATACAGTGTCTATGGTCTGTCCGCTGTATACCATGTCTCCATTATTGTTTATAAAAGTATATCTGTATAGTACAGTGCATCAAAGTGGGAACACTTTAAACAGATAAAGAGGGAGCAGTGGAAAAAGGTCAACAATAGGAGATGGGAGAGCAGGTCTATTGTAGGAATAGACAGTGACATGATGACATTCGTCTGAGCTGTCCAACTGAAACAACTACAAAAATTGTGGGTAGGAGGAGACCAAAAAGGTGAAGTTAAAAGAAGGTTTTGGTCTCAACACTACTTTGACCCCATCATGTGTTTAAACACAAAACCGAAACAAAGCAATACTAGAGAAATGTCTCAGTTGATGATCAGCAACAAAGTGGGTTGACAGGATGTGAATTAGGCAGACTAATATTAACACTGAAGCAGGGCTGCAACTATTTTGTCATCAGCTAATCTCATCATTAATTAATGTAGTGTAGTGAGTATGTTTTGTTGAAATATGTAGTCTATGAAAAACAATTTAAAGTGCTGTCTAACAAGCAGAGAAAATAAAAAACAAAATAGATAACAAGAGATAAGAAAGCAGCTCTTCACATTGCGTTGGCCGAAATCTAATTATTTATCAATCACTAATGGATAGGATATTAATCCACTAATAGCTTACCACTAAGGTCAAGCCTTACAAAACCTCATGCCATTATCAGTCTCCTGCACATATACAAGAGCACAGCAAGTTAATGGCATTCAGTTTAATGTGACAATAAAAAAATCTGATGCTCTACACAAGCTTAACCAGGCAGTAGTCAGTAAAGAAATTCCACACGTTAGCTGGTTATCACTAATGAAACGATGAGGTATGACATACTTAACTGCATGTTTTGCAACATTAGTCAAGCTGGTTAATAAGTCACATGATAAGCACTGATCCAGTCATATGACCAGAGAAACACTTGACAGTAAAATGGAGAAAACACAGGTTGTTTTGATGCCTCAGCAAAGAGAAGTAAACCAATGTTCCTTGTTTTCTGTTTCTCTTCTCCCTTATTCTAAGTTTAGCCTTCAGGCTAGGCTACTGCTCAAACCCTGATGATACAGCCACAAATACACAGACTTCTACAAAACATATACAGAATAACTGTAGCAATTATGCATAATTATTCACAATTATTATATAGTTCCCTTATTGTCCAGCATTTGCCCTTTGACTGGGGAAAGGCTTACAACCATGGGAGAATCACTGATAGTTTGGTTTACCTTTGGACACTGACGTTATTAGAAATCAACCTGTTTACAAATATGAACTGGGGACTCTCTTAAAATTGACTATTATATATCTGCTAAAGGTTAAAGGCTTAAGCTTTTTCATCAAAATCTCCTTTAGGTCAAGACTGACAGTTCATTTGCCCCCACCTAGCAAGACAGAAAGAGTTTGACCAAACAGAAACCACATCTACAAGATTTCTCCATGATAAAGCCATGTATATTAAAACCACTCCAGTACACCGATGAGGGCAAAAACAATAGACAGCACTTTCAATTGTCCCATGTGAACAGCCTGCCTGTTGTGAAGCTGTCACCTCAAGACAAGAAACGCGCGCGCGCGCGCACACACACACACACACACACACACACACACACACACACACACACACATAATGTTGTTGAATAATTTGACTGACAACATTGTCACCCACTGTCTTTGGGCAGTGTCAAAATACACATCCCTACTATTATTCCTCTGAAAATGTAATGCCATCAAAGCTGGCAGTTCAATTGTGTCCTCACAACCACACTGAAGCAGTGACTGCGTAAAAGGCTAGCTAAACAAGATGTTAGCTACCTGGCTCGCTAGCTAGCTACAGCTAATCAACATGCACAGCCTGTTGTCCAACTTATGTAAGCAGGTTAGCTTTCTAGTTAACTCACTAGCATTAGCTTGATTTAGCTAATGCTAACGTTACATCACCAAATGTTTAATTAGCTACGAATGCCCGTAAACTTAACAAATAACTAGTCAGCTAACTTAATAGTCAAAAGACTACTGTTGTTGTCATAACAGACAGGTGATGTTAAACCTTAAATATGGCCAATGTTACATGCTTGAAATTGGATCAACACATGCTAAACTGGGTAGCTAGCTGTACATGCTAACTACCAGGCTTAATTGATCGGGTAGGAGCAGACTTACACTTCCAGGATCCTGTCACCCTTTGCTATCCCAGCTCGGTCTGCCGCACCTCCGGGCAAAACAGCGCTGACATGCTGAAGAGGAGCGTAGAGTTCCCCGTTGATGCTCCGAAGCTGTCCCCCTTCGCTAACTTGACCGCGAACATTGAAACCGTATCCCGACTCCGACTTGACGATCCTCACCGTCCGTGGACCTGACGTTACGATAGCTGTGTTTTGGCCCGCGGACGGACCGACGACTGGACCGTTACGGGATACTGAAGGAAGATCTGACCGAGTTTCATCACCTCCTACATCCGCCATCTTCTCCAAAGACCCTAGCCCCCTTTCCAGTCGGTGTCTTCCAGCAAATTCAAAACAACACTTGAGCTCTGTCCCTCAGTAACGTTAGCTCCACAGACCGTCTGTTGTTGATAACCCGCCCCTCTGTGGCGTCACGAAACACGGCCACACAACGTGACCTCCAGGAGGCGTTACCGAAAGTAACAAATATATATATAAATAAATAAAACAAAACAAAACAAAACAAACAACAACAACAAAAATATATATATATACACTGCTCAAAAAAATAAAGGGAACACTTAAACAACACAATGTAACTCCAAGTCAATCACACTCCTGTGGAATCAAACTGTCCACTCAGGAAGCAACACTGATTGACAATCAATTTCATATGCTGTTGTGTAAATGGAATAGACAACAGATGGAAATTATAGGCAATTAGCAAGACATCCCCAATAAAGGAGTGGTTCTGCAGGTGGTGACCAGAGACCACTTCTCAGTTCCTATGCTTCCTGGCTGATGTTTTGGTCACTTTTGAATGCTGGCGGTACTTTCACTCTAGTGGTAGCATGAGACGGAGTCTACAACCCACACAAGTGGCTCAGTAGTGCAGCTCATCCAGGATGGCACATCAATGCGAGCTGTGGCAAGAAGGTTTGCTGTGTCTGTCAGCGTAGTGTCCAAGCATGGAGGCGCTACCAGGAGACAGGCCAGTACATCAGGAGACGTGGAGGAGGCCGTAGGAGGGCAACAACCCAGCAGCAGGACCGCTACCTCC